TGTACCGTAAGCTATGGAGCTGTCTATTATATAAATCTAGGGTAGTTAACTGCTTATGGTTAATAATTTTTCTACATTATGAATCTGTCTTTTCTCTAAGTTAAGAAAGGAAACTTCAAAATGGACATGTCTCTAATGATGGCAGTTTTGCCAATCAAGTCAGTTTGTGTGCTGTTAGCTACTGGTCTTTGAAATTATGTTTGGGATTTGCTTAGTGAAGAGAAAAGAAAAAATATGTTATTTTTACCAATATGATTCATGGTTTTTCTTTAACAGGTGGAAAAGTGGGTTGATTCAAAGACAGGGCAATCAACTGGGAGAATTAAGCATCCTGGTGCGCTACTCAGAGCTGTGCAGACTTTAATTAACCGATCTCAGGTGAATGCTGTTGCAGTGGTGGGACGCTTTCCAGATGATGATGTTGAAGATGTTGATGATTATCGACAGGGGGTGGTACGTGAATTATGCTCCCAACTTGTTGATTCCATGCTGTTCTACAACCGTACAATGTCAAAGCAATATTTGCATGAACAGATTAAATTCCAAGATAGAATTTTTGTGGAAAGACCTTTCACTGTGCCGTGCCCCCTCTGTTTTTAAACATGCATATTAAATTATATTTTTTATTTTCCAGAATTATAGAACTTGTTGGGTATGTTGAAAATCCTGTGAAATATTTCAATGGTGAAGTGGTGTTTAAAATTTAAATATTTTTGGAATAAGAAAGGATGCCTTTTGTACTACTTCCTTCCTCATATTACTATGTAAATTTTTAATCTGGATACAGGTGTTGTTAATTTGAACGTTGTTACTTAAGTTAGAAAATTAGTACTATGCATGTTTCCTGGTTCATTTAGCCTGGATTTGGCTTTGGAAAGCATTGAGAAAAGCAAAGTAAAATAATGGGAAAAAAAGAGAGCTAAATTTAGAATCCTGTTACGAATCCAGACTCATTTCTCAGATACTTTTCCAGTACCCAAACGATCCTCTATCCTACAATTTGGACTTAAAGTGCAAGCCAGCCATTTACAAGCATGTATCGTACTATTCTGTTTCTCCTCTACCCAGTGAGATGAAAAGCTTGGTCTGTAGCTCTTATTTTCTTTCACAGAACTTAACAAGTTATAGAGTGTAATGCTTTTATGTGGCTTTTGTTCTTTTGAGCATTGCTCGGTCACTAAGTTGCTATTTATGTATAGTTCTGTTAAAATAGTAAACATGATATGCCACTGTTTTCCAGAACTGGTTCTGACTGAAGCAATAAGGTGTAGTTGTTCTTGAATTTTTCTTGTCATTCCATCTTAGTTTCTTAACTTTGCAGGGAATAGATTTGTTGGCAGGAGTGGAAGCAGTTATAAGCCACTTGGTGGTTAAGGAATTCCAGATTCCTTGTGCACATGCTCCTGCAATGCTACCACTTCTCTTGACCGAAGATCTTTGCCCCAAATCAGCTGCTGAGGAGGTTTGTGGAGTTAAAGACAAGGAATAACATATTGGCATTTGAAATATAGGACTGAACCTCATTGCAAGCAGGTGTACACTATAGTGTGTTCAACCATTAAGTTACAACATCTCTGTCGCCTTGTAAATTGACTGACATAACTAACGTGCTATCTTCTTTTCTTGATTCTTGATCATAGCCAGTGTGCTATTTGGATAGGATTGGAGATAATTATAAGGAACAGTAGCCTCATTCAACCATGCAAACATCCTCACTGATATTTCCACAATAACATTTGTGTCCTAATTGGCTAAGTATCCATAGAAATTAATGTGCATAACCACCGTATATTACATTGTTACAAATTGGATAAGAAATAACGTAATTTTTACCTGTAGTCTTGTCAATTTATATGCCATATGTAACCTTTTGCAGGCTGATGGTTTAGCATTTCTCTTTCCATTATCTATATTCATTTATATTTAAATCTTGTTCAACAGATAGGATATACGTTCTTGCCCTGCGTACTGACTGGTCTGAGTAAAGCACCACAATATTTGGTGAAGGATTCCCAATCCCTAGAGAAGGGTTGCCTATTAGCCAGCGACGTTGACAGTGTTGTTCTTCCTATCAATGCTTGTGCAGGAGATGGTGCTCTTGCTTTTGCAAGAGGCAAAATAAACAAGGTAGAGATTAGAATTTGTTTCTTACATGTTCCTTAGATTAAAAAAAAACAGGGAAAGAAAAATGACTGGTTAATTGAGCTCTTTAGGCTTTAGAGGCAAATTTCAATAATAGCGTTCCCGCTCCTTCCATCTTGCTCTACCTGCCATCCCTTCAACTCTGACAATTTGTGTTTGGTATTTGGATCCTTGTGACTGAATCACTGCTCTTCCTTTCAGCCACTCATAATTACTGTCGAAGAAAATGAAACAGTTCTTGATGATACGCCAGATAAACTTGGGATTGAAACGGTATGGTTAATGATCATTATGACTGCAAATATACCCCTAGGAAACTATGATTATTTCAGAACTTACAATGCAATGCAATCTGTTGTGCAGGTCAAGGTCGCAAATTACTGGGAAGCGATTGGTGTTATTGCAGCTCACAGGGCAGGAATAAATCCACATTCACTCCGAAGAAACAGAATTGGTAACATTAAACGTACTTTTGCAATTCCAGCTAATGTATTTGCGGTTTCAAGTGCCACTCAAACGACTTGATTGGAGAAGTCTGGACATTAGTTTTCTTTTTCTACTAGTATTCTTCATCTAATTATTTAAAAATATCCTCCTTTTGTTCATTGCACTATAGGTTTGTGTCTGATGCGTGGTCTTTGGGTTTGAATATTGGGAAACACAGGATTGGCTACTCTATTTTCAAAAGCGAATTTCATCAGCTAGCTTTTTGACCATGCTCTACCGGGGCTAGATATTTTTCCCAATAAAAAATTTGACGAACATGTTTTTTTCAACACTTTTTTTTGCATGAAAAAATATTAAGTGTAAATCATTTATATATGTATCTAATTAAATAAATTAAAAATTATTTATGTTAATAAATTAAAAAAAATCATTAATAATAACTAAATATATATCTTAAAAAGTCACGAGGTAGATATAAATTAAGATATTTGATTTCACAATATGAGTTATTTACTTAATTGTATTTAATGATTATTTATAAAAAAATACTTTTTATTTAATTAAATTATAGTAGAAATACACATATAAAATAAAATAAAATAAATATTTTATAATGTTGCAATTATTAGAAATACTATAATTACATAAAGTATAAAAAGAATTATAAACAAACTAGAACAATATTTTTAAAAATTAAATATATAAAAATAGTTAAAAAAACTAAATACAAAAAATAAAATATTAGAGAGAGAGGGTTCATTTTAAAAAGCATGATTTTTTTCAAAGAAAAAATTACAGAAGAAGAAAAAAGAGAAAAGACTAGCGGTGCACATTTAGAAAGGGCCAATGCCTATTTAAAGTGAAATGCATTTGGGGTGGTTGATATATCATCTCGACCCGCAATAGTTTTTGTAAAACAATTTCAGATATCTTGTTATCTAGTTTTTAAGGTAAGAAAAATATGCTCTATATATTTTCGATATAAAAACCTATTTTTTATTTTATTTTTGATTTAAAATACCTAAAAAAACCTTGATAAACTTATAAATGATATCAAAAAACCAAAAACACCATACAAAAACTTAAAATAAAAAATATTTTTGAGATTAAATCTGGTTTTTTAGACAATTTCATAATAAAAAAAAAATCTAAGTGGAACTTTCCTTACCAAATAGAACTAGTTCATAATAGTTAAAATTGGTGTAAACTTTAATTTTTTTCTCTATCATTAAAATTTGACAATCTTTTTTTTTAAATTAAAAACTAAAAAATAACAAAAATAAATTTTTATACCAAAATTAAATTATAAAAATTTAAAGGGATTGAATATCTATAATTTGTAAATTAACTTTGATCATTTATTTTTATTTTTATCTTTAATTAATAAATTTGATTCAATTATTTTTTAATTTGGATGCAATTACCGAAAACAAACCAGTAAATCCATCCATGAGAATATAAACAGTGTTTACGTGGACAGTGATTTACCCACAATAATTTCTTGTTAAGAAGTTCAATTCCTTTTTTCTTAACGTGGAAGAGGAAAGTAGAGAACTCGAGGTTGTAATTCAACATGGGTTGGTTAGATGGTGATTTTGAAACCCTTGTTGTCAACTCATGGGTGCTGTTGTGGCATGATAGGATTGGCTTGACGGTTAATCCTCTGAAGATAACGACATCAGAGATCGGTAGGTAATACAGATATAGAATCCCCTGTTTAGGGTGGTGGGATTTTCTTCTGGTTAACAGTATTGTCATAAAAAACGATGGAACAGAAAACATCTAGTCCTTCGATCCGATTGGTGGTATAATTACGTTCATTGATGGACCGCTAACATGTTTCCTCCCGGATGATGGGATAGTTTTATAAGAGAAAGCTTACTTTCATTTTCATACGCTGTTTACTGCTGCTTATTTTCTTCTGGGAATTTTAAAAAAATATTCTGTGGTGGCACAAGATTCATTTTTCTCCATCAAGCATTGCGTCAACAAGACCATTTCAAGCTCATCTTTCTTTGTTTGAATTGACTGAGCTGGTCTCTGTGCTGTGAAAAAAGATCTGGTGATTCAGTCCTAGGAATTGGATTTGGATTGTTTCTTCTTAGTGGGTGGAAATTGATAATTTTTCACCTTCGTTTTTTCGCTCCTTTTCAGTTGCATAAATGAGAATTAAAAAGAGTAGTGATGTTGAGATTAATGAGTGGATCGTGTGAGAAAAGAAATCATTTTTAGGGATATCCAATGAGCACTCATTTCTGAAGTATTAAAGTTAGTCTGGTATAATTTTTGTGATTTGACTTAAATAGTTTCTTAACTTTTAACTTAAGAAAAAATTATAAATATATAACTTTTGATTTCAATTAAAAAAAAAAGAGAGTACAAAATCGAGTCAAAGTGCTGCTTCAATTAAAAATCATACTTTTAAGCTTTTTGAGGAACCAGTTCTTCGATCGAATTTTTTAGAGTTGATTTCAATTTCGTCATAAAGTCTGTGTTTGGAACAAGTTTCGAAAATAATTTCTTATTTAGTAAAATCAGGGGCAAAGTGATTTCTTTTTCAAAAGAAATAAGAGAGTGGTCGTTGGTGCTGGGGTCTAGCTGCGACGATTTGTGACAATGAATCGAAGGATGTAATTAAAAGTTTTCAAATCATTAAATTTCTAAAAGTAGTTTCTTCTACTTGTTTTTGTTACAAGTTATTTAAGAAGAAACAATTTTTAAATTATAACCCAAACTTCAAAATCAATTTTCATAAATCATGCAAAATATTGGGATAAGCTCACGTCTTCAGGTGCACCGACAAACAAAGCATGCAGGGAGCAGATTTCTTCTTAGCTAAAAACTACACGCATCAAGAACTGCTGCCGGCGATTTTTAACTGGCAACTCGCCAGCGTAAAAAGTGGAATAAGCTGTCTTGTTATAAATGGTAAGAAAACATGTTGATGTTTTATTAGTTTCAGGCCTGTGCTTCAACTAATCAAGTTTTGGCCTGCAGCTGGAGCGCTATCTTCAAATTGAACAACCAGTTCGTATACAATAATTTCCTGGAGTGACAAGAAAACAAAGGGAAGGTTTCTTCTTGCTATACCAACTGAAAAAAAAAAAAAGAATTGAATTACTGAACAACGAGTATGGATAAAAATCACTCTACGCTCTGATGGTAAGCATCGTCAATGTTAATCCACTGAGTGTACCAGCATGGATCATAACTCCAGGTCCCCTTTCGATCCCGATTCTCAGATCATCAAGAAGACTGCTTTCTATCGTTGATCTCACTTCAAATCCAATGAAGCCTAAGATAAACTTATGTTACTATAACCACTTATGAAGGGAAAAGGAGAGTTCGAATGGAGGGGGGAAAAGAGGGTAACCTCAAATAAATTCTCCAACTACGCAGGGAATAGGGATTCCCAGTTAAGTCTCCTAACATTTTTTTGTTTTCTCTTGATTGATTCCTAAAGTCCTAGACATTTCACAATTTTCCCCTTATCTGTACGTGTCAATGAATTTCTTCCAAATTTTCCGTTCATCAACAGGGAAGAAGAAAGCGACAGCCAAAATCTATCTTCGACCAGCTTAACCCACTTAGCAAGGGACATGCTTTCGTGAAACTGGTTTTTTACACTTCCAATTGCGGGATAGGAAGGGAGTTAGGCTGTTCGGTGGTAGCAGAGGGACCATGTAACCTAACAGTAGGTGGCAGGTATCGAAGATTCATGATAAACGTTCTGCTCGTGTCCTTAAAGCTTACCTAATAGTCCGATAGCTCTTTCACACGGCGTACTCACTGCTGACACTGGAAATCCTGGGTTTTCTTTTTTGGTTTAGACAAGAAAGATAACAGAGACTGCATCTTTACTTGTATGATTCTGTGTTTATATTTTGATTTTTTTTTTCTTTATAGAAAATGCATGTGTGACCATTGCATCTTCATGAAGTGTAATGCCATAGCCTATATGTGAGCTTAACCCTTGTTTTTTCCTTCTTAATAGCATTCCCACTCATTTTTTCTTTACTGACAAGATATTGAGCACTCCTCGCGCAAAATAATTAATATTGCAATAATAGTTATATGGGTTTTATGATCAACTTTAATACATGAAATGGAAATATATTTTTTATTGGATGAAATAAAATAATCAATAAAACACCGACAATAAACTGCTAAACGAGTTAGTAATATAAGAGTATATATTAGTAAAATGATAAAATCTTAAAGCCATCTACTATATATGAATATTCTTTTTTTAATTAGTAAGTTGAGGATCGCATCTATACTATATAAGCTTTTATTTTCTGGTGCACTTGCTTTCAGCGTTTGAAAAAGAGCACTGTGGGGGCAAATACTTACATGGTGATCCTTATAAAAGGATCCATGGGATAATTACACAATCGATGTTTCTTATTAATAAAAGCATATTTTGGATAATTATATATCAACCAAGATTTTAGACAGCAAATACTTGAAAATTATAGTTATAATAATTATACTAGGAAATATTTATTTCACGTGTCTTGCCATGTAAACTATGAAAAAAAAAATCATAAAGACTTTTTTCATAAAAAAACACCATGGGAAATTCAAAGAAAAGTGACAGCATCTAACATTTGTGTTTGTTGAATTAAATGTGTATATGGTGCAGAGTACTGCTATAAAAATACTAAAATGATATTTAAAAAAAAAATAGTCATTTATTTTTAAAAAAAACATATAAAAAGCATTGTTTTAATCTTTTTTACAGAAAAAAAAAAAAGAAGCGAGTTTAACTTAACTTGCATTCAGGTAGGTGAATGATATTGATAGACATAGACTGATTGGCCTTTCCTTTTGAAAAATAAAAACAAAAAAAGAAAGAGGGACCGGCTAAAATAATCGCTAGAAGGAGGGCTTGAACCTCCGACCTTGTGGTTAACAGCCACACGCTCTAGCCAACTGAGCTATTCCAGCTTCTTGCAATGGAATCTCAATGTTACTTATTTAGAGCTTCAAAATATAACCTGCCGTGCATGCTTTGCAAAATATAAAGTTTTTAAGTAATTAAATTATGAATCAAAGATTCCAACAATTACATTTGTGGGCCTCTATCTAGAACTAATTAACAGTCCTTTCTCTTTTTCGAAAATTGGATATGACCAAAACAACCGTACGACTAGCTTTCTAGCTGGCAATATAGTTACAAGTCTTTCTATAATGAAATCAGCCCAAATGCCCAACATGCTTTTCATTTTTTCTCATATGAAAAAATAAAATAACATATATATATATATATATATATATTGACAATTTCAGACATGCGACTTTGGATTGGCTTATTTTCTGTTCCATAACATGCATCTGTACTTTTCGTGGAATCACTGCCCTACAAGTACTTCCGGTGATGTTTTGGATAAAAAAATGAAGGGCTTGAAAATAAAACGAAAAATTATTGAGAAAACAATGGAATATATTATACACTGTTCTATTTTATTGCTTGCACTTATTGTCTTTGATAATATATTAATTTGGCACCGCTCATAAAATATAATCAATATATCATAGTAAACACATACACAGTTCTAAACACATAATGAATAAAGAAATTAAGCACCGATACCAAGTTAAGAAAATAATATGTTATAAAATAATATTAAATTTAGGTTAAGATCTATTACAATACCCAAATGGAATTACCATAATATAATCGAATTATGATTGAACGATCAAATTTATTCCACCCCCACAACACAATATATAGGCTCCCGAGTAGTTTCTTGTTATAGCAGTTTACAAACTTTATACCTTTTAACACAAAACAATTAATTAATTCCCTAAAACATACATTCATATAACATCAATGTAACAGTGAATGCTCGAACTTGCTCCTTTGATATTAAATAGAAAAAGAAAAGCATATTTGAGAAAAAATCAAAGAGAGAAATCATATATATGTATATATATAGCTAATTAAGCACCTAATTAATTAAGAAGAATCATTTGCTAGGGAACTCGCTGTAATATTGAACAGTAGTTGCGGTGGTGCATATGTCCTTCATTGACGACAAAAACAGTCTCGTTCTTTTTGCGACATAAAATAGTGTGGTTTACCATTTTCTGTTTTGCTTTCAAAAGACATATTAATATTGGATACTGAAACCCTAGTCAGAGTGAGCTTGTTTCGTTTCACCGTTCCCCGGCCCCCTCTCTTTCGTAGATGCTCACTGAAAATTTTAGTATCTCCAATCGATTAGAACGGAGCAATAGCACACACAGAGACTATCTCCCACACATATGTGGCCTTTTTTTCTAATCCAAAAAATTCAAGAAAAGAAAAGAAAAAACTTCATCAATACTGAAACGCCAAATGATGAAGTACTCTCTCTATCTCTCTCACGCATATATATATTTGTCGAGATAAATAAATATTTTGAAAGCAACACCAAGCAATTTTTTTGGTCAAACTGCCACATATAGGGAAGGAGCGGGAGTCGGTGGAAGTTGGAGACACTAGACAGCGCCAAGCTATCCAGAAGAACTGTTTGTTTAAAGAGATATTAAATTAAACTGTCACATACTCCTCTATCTACTGATTTTAGTTGGAAACTATCAGTCAACGTAAGAACATGTGATGGTGCCAACTTCCCTTGTTCTCGATCGTACTTATTTTTCTTGACGGAATCCCAGTCTCTCTATCTGATGTCATATCTACCAACTATGAAATATTAAACTAATTGATTGTCCCATGAATTTATTATATAATTAACTTCAATAGCCACTCATCTTATTTGAAATCTCAAGAATCTAAGTTATTCTTTTTTTTCTCAGGTAAAAAAAAAAGTAAATTGGGATTTAGAAAGAAGTATTTTATTCGGATGAATATTGTATTTTTTTAACTCATTTAAAAATATTTTGAAGGTTGACAATTGGTTTATTAAAATTCTTAGAGTATTTATTGGGTGTTTTAGATAAAAATATTATGAAAATAAGATTTTAAATTAAAAAACCTCTAACTTGACTTTCCAATAACCTTTGCTAGAATTTTTGCTAGCACAACACTATGTATGTTTTATCATTATTTTTTTTTCTTAATAAAAGGTTACTCCGCCCTTAAATATAAAAACAAATAGTTAAGAAAACCAGGGGCACAAGCCAGGCCGCCTTTCGATTGAGCTGGATACTCGGGCCAATCTTTTAGGCTTAGACACCCAGCCTCTTCCTATGTTTCTTATTTTGTTTTATTTTGATTTAAATGAATTATAAATAAAATGCTAAGCATGATATTTAAATTAATATTTAATTTTGGCATACTTCTTAAATAATGTTAAAGTTTTCTATTGGAGTGTTAACAATTTTTTTTCCAATTACTACTACATACCTAGTATGCAAAAAAAAAAATAACAAAAAATTGTTCATGAAGATTCAATGAAAACAAAATTCTTGTTTTTTGTTATTTTTTTAATAAATTTTTGACATGATTTTATCATATTAATTATTTTTAAGTCATAAATATACTCATTAGGTTATCAGGTTGACCGGTTCTATCCTAAACATCTTCATTTTCAGGTTGACCGGTTCTATCCTAAACATCTTTATTTTAATATTTTTTTTATTAAAAAATATTAAATTGATGTTATTTTTAATTTTTTTAAATTCATATTAAGTTTTAATATGATCAATTGATTCATGAATATACTTGTTAGATAAAATAGGTGTCATCTCACTTAATTTAATTTAAAACTTAATTCAAATTAAAAGTTAAATTAACAGGTCGTCATGTTAACTTACTAGATTATACAAAATTTAATATATAACACCGTGAAAAATTCATTACCACAGCTGGTTTCTAACTGAGTAAAATCAATAGATTCTATTTGGTGGAACTTTCATCAATTGAGTTTAATCTTGCAATTTGCTTCTTTGTTAATTTTATGATGACTCAAGTTCATCTATAAGCTTTTAGTTATCAATAAGTTTTTTATCCATCTCATTCATTCGAATTCGAATTAAGGATTCGTTTTTGCTAGAAATATTATTTACATTTGTTTGTGTTTTATTTAATATGGGTAAAATATTTATTTT